AAAAAAAAAGCTTATTTCCTTGAGTGCGTTGAGTCTTATTCCCAAGTAAAATCACCTGATCGGTGTATAGAATCGTTTAATTGTTTTTATTCTAAAAAGTTGCATATTTGGGTAGGAGGAAAGGAGAGGAGAGAAGATTTTAGGGATGGATAAGAATGAAGAGACGGGGGGCGCTTCACTCTTCCTGCATACGACAGAAGATGTTGCAACGGCAAGAACTGCGGCAACCGATCCGCGCTCCCCTCGTCCTTCTGTTATATATTCTTCCAAAGACGACGAGGGCGGCAGTCCACTTCAAAGACTGCAGCGTCAAGTTAATAAAGTGATTAAAGGCCTCTCAAGTCCTCCTCAGGCCAAAAATGCAGGAACCTACAATCCTGAAGTTCTCACTACTCAAAAGCGTCAGTGGGCCAACTTCCAGTTGCAATACTTGGTGAGCTTTCCCATTCAACCTGTCTCTGATTTCTTCACATGTTACGTTTTTTAGTTCTGTAGTCTATTATATAGTTATATTATTTAGATATTGCTTTCTCCTTCAATCTTATCAATCTTAAGTTCTCAACTTATTCCTCAACACTCTATAATGTACTTTGGGGCTATTTGATTCCTGATACTAGCTTATGGCAGCAGTTTAGATTCTTTTTCATCGTTTATATATTGGAAGTTTTCTTTTGTAGTATTTTTCCAACATATTTATGTGCAAAATTTTAGGATCATCGATCTCTAAAGGAGCCAACTAGGATTTTTGAGAGCATGGTTGTTGTTGGCCTTCATCCTAATTGTGACATCCAAGCGCTCCAGAGGCAATACGTTGCAAGGAAGTCCGAAGGTTCTGGGAGACTGCGAACTGCACTTAATAGTCAGAGTCAATCACGGGTGGAACCTCATCTTGAACCACAAGTGGGTTTTATTATCAATCTAACTTGGTCTTAGAAATCAATAGGATTTTCCTCCCTGCATACTTGAATTATAAATTTTCTTCCCTATCAGGTCCTATTTGTTTATCCTTCAGATAAACAGTTACCACTCAAATACAAAGACCTTCTTTCATTCTGCTTTCCAGGAGGTGTGGAGGTTGGTTGCTCATTGTGTGTTCTCTCACGCACTAAGCATAAATTTTTAAAAGAAAATAGATATGGTTATTGTTTCATCTTTTTCGGCTACTTACCATCTCGTGCATTAAATGTTTGTTTTAATGTGACTAAAGGTTCATGCTGTTGAAAGAACTCCTTCCATGAGTGAGTTGAACGAGATTCTTCTTGGGCAGGTATTTTTAAATTTGTGGAAAATAACTTGGAACTTAAAGCATAAAACTAAATGAGTTGTTAAACAGTAAATGTGATTGAAACATAAGATCTGACATTGCTGACATTAAAAATTTCCTTTAGTAATGTTGCATAATATTTATCAAGCAGCTGAGCATATTCTCTGGACTTAAGATTGGTTATAAATTGTACTTAACCACTGCTATTTCTTGCATTCATTAACTTGGTTTGTCCTTCCACGCAACACTTTTTTCCTGTGTTTAATTATTTTGTAATATACTATATAAATTTTTTAGGCTACTTTCAGAACACCCACCTCATTTCTATCATTAGTAATATAAGATCTATTGCCTTAAGAGAAGTTTTTAATTTTCTGCTCAAGTGATCTGTCTGTAGCTTCATGTATTTGTTGTAACTTGTCTCAATCGATATGTTGCATTTGCAGGAACACCTAAAGCAAAGTGACCTCTCATTTGTATTCCGCTTACAGGTACTAGGAAATTTTCACTTGTTTGGACTCTCCCCAGTGGGGGTCACAATTATTTATGTCCTACTTTACATGTCTTCATCATGATTATTCCTCCATTGAACTGGGAAAATTTACCTTATAAAAAAAGAGTAAAATAGGATCCTTATAGTACGGGCTACCAAACAACAGTGTAACACTGATGCACTTTGGGAAGAACTACAATTTACACTCATTTGTAAACTATGCTTTTCAGGTTGCTGATGATTCGACATTGTATGGATGCTGTGTTTTAGTTGAAGAATTGGTGCAGAAACCATCTGGATTGCTTTCTATTTCTGAAAAATCACCTTCCTACTCGTCCTTGAGCCGTCACATACTAACTACACGTAGATGCTATTGCATTCTATCTCGGTTGCCATTTTTTGGATTGCATTTTGGTGTGTTGAATAGGTATGTACATATTTTAACCATTTTGACGGTCTTCTTATGTTTACCCCATTCCCCCATATAAAGACGTAAAATAATTCTCTTCTCCAAGAAAAAAAAAAGAAAAGACTTAAAAAGTGATTACTTTGAGATCTTGGGTAGTTGGAAGTTTCTGGTTGTAGCGATTACCGGAAGCTACATTCTTTTTAATGCTTTACATGGAGCATATTTATCATAGAGATTGGTGTTTCCTAAATGCTAGGAATTTTTTGGCACTTGTTGTTTGTGTGTGAATATTTAATTTTCAACTCTATCATTTAATGCTAAGTAGTTTGATCTTGTTAAAAAAAAAACTCTTACAATTACATTGAAATTTGGATGTAAGGTTAAGAATCCCTAGTTTTGTTGACATACAAGGCTGCAAATATCATGTATGTGATGGACAACTTGATTCACAAAAGCTCGTCTTCTTTCTGCATAGGTCTTAGCATTCGTATACGTTTTCTAGGATGAACTAAGATTATTGTTGTAAATAGAATGAAATGTAGCATCTGTAATGAAAATGTTTTAATCTAGATCTTTGGAGATGGTTTTAATATGTTACTCTAGATCTTCTTATGCACATACTTGTATATTTGTTTGATGTCAATTGTCTAACACTTTATTTTGATGTTTATTTTTATTAATTTCCTGTAGCATCTTCATCGAAGAAAGGCTGGAAAGATTAACAAAGGGTATTGCTGTTTTGAATTTGGAATCCACAGAGAATTTGGGCAATGAAGAAGATTTGGTAGAAGACGTAGTTTGCATGACTGTGGATCAGAAAGCAACCGAAGATATGCCCAAGGAAAAAGAGGAATATTCTCAAAGAATGCTGGGTGATGAAAATCATTTAGAGAATCAAATGCACGATGGAAATTTTCAATTTTTGAAAAAGGGCGTAAGTGATGATATAGTTGTCCCACTTGATCCAGAATCAGAGGTAGTTATAGCCCAAACAGAATCTGTTACTGTACATAAGGAAAATCACGATATTGATGTTGATGATTTTTCAAGAAATAAGCAAGCAATTGATAGGCGTTTGCCAAATGCAGTTCTACCCCTCCTCCGTTATTATCAATATGAAAGCTCTGAATCGTCCTCGAGGTATATTATTAACAATTGATTATTTACTTGTGGAATAATGACAAGAAGACTGATTGATTATTGCACTTATATTAATGCTTTTAATTTTAGAAGTACTACATCATATAACTTGATCAAAGTTGATTGCATGTATCAGTGACCTTGAGTCATTTTAAAGCTGATTTTTAACATCCAATTACTTTTATGTAGTTTTCAGGGGTCTCCGAGTGAAGACAGAAATTTCCGGAGTGATGCTGATGATACAGAGACAGAGGAGGCATCTTTCTCTGGCCAAGATGATTCCACTGACCTACTTGACATTCTTGAATGGGCCAAGGTTCTTTGAATTTAACAATCGTGCTCTTGTAGGTTTATCTCTTGCCATTGTCTTTAACAATTCAATTTATTTATTACAGGAAAATAAGAATGGATCATTACAAATCATATGCGAGTATTACCAGTTGCAATATCCTGCTAGGGGCTGTTCTGTTAAGTTTCATCCTCTGGAGCACCTACATCCTATGGAGTATTATAGATCAGGCGAAACAGTTTTACATTTCGCTGGCTCGACTATTGATCCAAGATCATGCAGTACAAGTCTTGAATTGGCTGAGGTAATTTTAATATTAATTTTTCTGGATTACTAATGCCCTCACTGTGGTATGATTAGTTTTGTGGACCTTGTCAGAGTCTATCCCAAGGCATATCTGTTTGATTCCTTGATTTAGCCTTATCTATTGTGAATTTTTCAGGCACAAGGTGCTCTCATGGTAGAGGAGGAAGCAAATGCCTTATCAATATGGACTGTTGCAAGCATTTGTGGTTCTTTACGCCTTGAGCATGTAAGCTTGTTCCCTAACTTGGAATCAAACCTTTAAAAGTCAATTGTATTTTTTTTCCCTCATGGTTTGTTGGGGTGAGGGATGCAGATTGTTGCAAATATTGCTAGCAACTTAGGCCATGTAAATTTTTTCTGTCCACAGATTCTATTGATTTTAGCTGGAGCACTGCTGGAGAAGCAGATTGTGATCGTTTGTTCCAATTTGGTACATGATTTTTCTTGCATCCACCTATGTTCTGATCCAATGATGGAAATGGATCTTATTGTGGTGTTTAATTTAGCTGTTTTTCTATTCATACATTTCATTTGATGCTAAAAAATTTAAGGCTATTTGCAGTGTAATACACTTGATGAGTTATTTAAGTTCGATGGGATGGAATAATAATTCATATTCAACATGTAGGGTATCCTATCTGCTTCAGTTTTATCGATTATCCCTATGATTCGTCCCTACCAGTGGCAAAGCTTGCTGATGCCGGTATGAGTTCTAATCTCGGATAATTATTGTCATGTCATACTTATCTTGTTTTGGAGGATATTTGTGTTTATTGGCTTCTAAACTTCTCGATTGATATCAATCATAAATATACACTCTTAGGTTTTACCGAATGACATGCTGGATTTTTTGGATGCACCCGTTCCTTATGTAGTAAGTATTTGATTTCTAGCTGTTTACTACAAGCTATTTCTGGTGATTTTTTTTTTTTCTAATTTATCACTAATGGGAACTTCTAAATAGGTTGGTGTGAAGAATAAAACTAGTGAAGTACAGTCAAAGTTAACAAATGCCATTCTGGTTGATGTTAACAAGAACCAGGTCTCTACATTTTCTATTTTTTTAAACATCAATTCTACTTCATATGATTTTGTGTCAATTATCCACTTGCTGTAAATAGGTATCTGATTTAGGCCACCATTTAACATGATAGGTCAAGGCCCCAACAGTACCTCAACTGCCTAAACAAAGGGAGTTATTCTCATCATTAAGACCATATCATGCAGAGCTAGTCGGAGAAAGTTATTTGGGGAGAAAGAGGCCAGTTCATGAATGCACTGATGTGCAGGTTTGTTTTTTTTTTCCTGGTATACTCAGTATTCCCAGTGATATGTTTTGTAAATTTGTTTGATGTGTTAACGCATAGGTTGAAGCCTCCAAGGGTTTCCTAAAAGTGCTAAGATTGTACTTGGACTCTCTCTGTTCTAACCTCCGTTCACATACAATTACAAACGTGCAATCCAATGATGATAAGGTGGGTTTGGAATATCTTTTGAAGTTGTTAGGCAATTTGTGATCTTCCTCCTTGATTGTGAGCTTTACAGATTAATTCCTTGGGCTATTGCAACCGAGTCTTTTTAGGGACTAATTTCTTTCTTGATAACTTGTAGGTTTGACTTGGTGATAAAACATTCCTCTTCTCATCATTATTACTGCTATAAATAATTATTAGAGAGAAGACTCGGCTACCAGTTTAAATAAATTAAATTAAATTAATGGGTGTAGAAGGTGGTCTGTAGCTTTGATGATAATAGTGCCCAGCAATATATAATATTTTTACAGCAGACGAGATTGCATCAAGTCTAATATATAGACAATATCACATATTTTAACTGTATTCTAATTCGGTTGATAAGAGTTGGTGCTGAAAAGTATAAAGTTGTGGCCAACCTGAGCGAAACTCAACTGGTTAAGTCATATATCTTCGACCAAAATGTCGGAAGTTCGAATGTCCACCCCAGTTGTTTAATTAGAAAGCTGTGTTTTTTTTCCATCATGTATTCACTTGATTGCTTTTGTAAGAATGTTTGATGCATCTGTTTTGGGTTTTGAAAGTTATTAGCACTACAGTAATGCTGTAAACTGGAATGTTCGGCATAATAAAATAATTTCAATAGGATGGGTGCGATATTAGTATTATCACTTCACTCGTTCATAATCATGTAGGTTATAGTTGCTTCATTTTAAATCAATCGGGATGGCTGATAGCCACTTGTTTTGTTCTATTAGGTATCATTACTCTTGAAGGAGAGCTTCATTGAGTCATTCCCAAGTCGTGATCGGCCATTTTTGAAGGTAAGCTCCATGCCTATACATTTATTCTCAAGGGTCTTGGTTCGTGGGTCTAATGGCTTGATCTAAGAAACCTACAACACTACATTCATCTCTTTAAACAGGCCAGATTAAGATTTTAGTTCTAAATACTGGTTGAGAGGATTACGCTGCTG